GGTTGACTTTAGTGTTTTCTTTGACTGTTGAATCTATTTCCTCTATCATATCTTCAATGCCAGAGATTCTTTCTTCCATCTCTGGTATTCTGTTGGTATGCTTGCATCTGTAGTTCCTGTTCATTTACTCACATTTTCCATTTCCAGCATCCCCTCAGTTTGTGTCTTCTTGTTTCCATTTCACTTTTAAAATCTTGAACTGTTTCTATCCCCTGTTTAATTGCTTTCTCTTGGCTTTCATTAAGGGGTTTATTAATTTCTTCCAAATTTTTGTTTGTCTTTTCCTTGGTTTCTTTAGAGGAATTTTTCATTTCCTCTTTAAAGGCCTATATCTTCTTCTTAAAGTCATTTTTAAGGTCGATTTCCTCTGCTTCTTCTTCTTGGGAATGGTCAGGTCTTGCTGATGTAGAACCACGAGGTTCTGATGGTGCCATATTGGTCTTTATGCTGCTGAATGTATTTTCGCACTGGCATCTACCCATCTCTTCCTGAACTTGGTGCAAGTAGTGTCTGTGTCTAAAGGAGCCTCTATTGATCTGATAGATATTCTTGGTCCAATGGAAACTCTTGGTCTAATTGGGGCTCTTGGTCCAATGGGTGCTGATGAACATTGTGTCTCAGAGATCAGCTCTAAGTCCAATGGGTGCTGACTGGCACTGTCTCGGGTGGGTTTGGGAGGGGTTGGGTTTGAAGGTTACAGGGTCTGATGGGGGATGGTGGTATTCTGAAATGCCTTCAGAAAACCTGCCTGCTGGCCTGAAACTGGGATTACATTGGATGGTAGTATGGAAGCACAAGATTGTGCCCTTAGGCCCAAAGCCTAGAGGGTGGAGTGTTTGGCTATGAGAACAAAGACTCACCTCTTAGTCCAATTAGTGCTGGTGGGCTCTGTCTCAGTGAGCAGCTGCAGTCTCAGAGAATCACAATTCTTGTTTTTATGTAATTTTTATTGATTCTTTGGGAATTTCCCATCATGCCCCCCAATCCCACTCATTTCCTATTCCCTCCATACCCACCCTTCATACTTATAGCATCACGCCCAAAGGAAATCTTAAAAAAAATAATAAAATGATATAAAAATTAAAAATACAGCCAGGCAGTGTTGGCGCATGCCTTTAATCCCAGCACTCGGGAGGCAGAGGCAGGCAGATCTCTGTGAGTTCAAGGCCAGCCTGGTCTACAGAGCAAGATTCAGGAAAGGCACAAAACTACACAAAGAATCCCTGTCTCAAAAAACCAAAAAAAAATACAAATACAAATAAGAATATTAATTTAACAAAAACAAAAAGCAAATAAAAAAAAACTTCTCACCTCCATCTTTCCAATTTTTCGATCACCTCTCCACTTGTCTTAAGAGATTTGGGAGCTGCTGTGGATCATGCAGTATAGAGGTTACATTTTTATTTTATTTCTTTTTTTATTTTCAAGACAGGGTTGATTTGTCTAACAGCCCTAGCTGTCCTTTGAAGTTGCTTTGTAGACCAGGCTGGCCTCTGCCTCCCAAGTGCTGGGATTACAGGCAAGGGTACAATTCTTAATATCATTTATAAATTAGGAAAACGACAGAATAAAAAGCTAACAGTTCAACTGGGAAAGAAATGACAACAGTGTCCACACAGTTTTCTTCATTGTGTGTCAAGCACAACATCCACTAGACAGGATTCACATGAACTAATTGTGACCATTGTTCCAGGAGTTCTCTTTGCACTATACATAAACCTCATCCTTCTTGGTCAAATTCCAGCATGTGAGCATCAAGCCAGGCATTCATATATCTGTTCCATTGTCCTCCTTCCTAAAGCCAAGGCCATCCTTTCACCATACCCAGTGCTCAGGACTCCTGTGCATTTTAAAGGGCTCATCTTGAGCTGTTTATGGGTAAATCTCTTTTTTCAAAGAGATTTGAGGGATCAAGTACTTACTTCTCAGTGATGATCCCTGATTCAGCATGTGTTGCATTCCACACAGCTACTTATATCCCTGTCCCTTACATCTTCTGTTCTATCATCTTGTCATTCTTTCTGTCAGAGGGTACTGACTGTCCTTTCCTGATGAGAGGGTAGTTCTGCTGTACTGAAGAAAAGTACCAATGTTAAGGAATAGAAAGTTAAGTTATAAGTCAATAAAAACAAGAATGAAGTCAGTATGAATAAAAATAAATATTAACAGAACTATATACAAAAATAGATGAAGATGTGGGGTTTGGGGTGAGGTAGAGGATTTGCTCACCTGTGTAACCCAAGCATTGTATCCTGGGCTACCTGAAAACTCAAGATCCTCCTTGTTGCTGGAGGGATTCTCTCCAGGTTGCACCAAGGCCCACAGTTCCACAATCTACGTATAAAATAATCACTCAGACGCTTATATTACTTATAAACTGTATGGCCATAGCAGGCTTCTTGCTAACTGTTCTTATATTATAAATTAACCCATTTCTATAAATCTATATCTTGCCATGTGGCTGGTGGTTTACCAGCGTCTTTACATGCTGCTTGCACTGGTGGTGGCTGCAGTGTCTCTCCCTCCTTCTTCCTATTTCCCCAATTCTCCTCTCTCTTTATCCCGCCTATACTTCCTGCCTGGTCACTGGCCATCAGTGTTTTATTTATATAGAGTGATATCCAGAGCACCTCCTGACTCAGCTTCCTACCTGTTTGAATTACTAGAATACATCACCATGCCTGACAGAAGAGTAGTTCTTGATGCCATAACGCAAAAGAAGTCAAGAGCACCAAAGACAACAGGAGAATCTCATAGAAGCAGTAGAGGAATGACATCACAAATATTCATTATTGTGTCCCACCACCACTGAACCATCCTCAAAGTAAGAACTATGTGACTGGGAGCTGTTTAAAAATTACATGGCACTTTGCATGAATATTATACATGGTATAATATAGGAATGTTTTTATTATGAGCATAAATAAAAAATATCACCTTACTTTCCATATTATAACAGGTCAAAACTATAGTTTTGAATTCAAAAATCAACTATAGATGAGCATACCTCAAAAATAAAGATAAAATGTGAAGAATAACTTGTTTATTTCATGAACTGTGTACTTGTTTTGCCATGTTTCTCTCTTCTTTGAACTCTACTTGGTTCACACTGAGCAACAACACAGTGGATGTGCACAATGAAATAAAAGAAGCCAACTGTGTAGAGCAGAGACCCGGAAAAAGAAACAGTGAGTATGAGCTGAGGAGTAGGGAACTGTCCATTCTTCTCTTTCTTTCCTCACTTCCTTCCTTTCTTCTCTGCTCTTTCTTCCTTCCTCTTCCTCCCTTCCTTGATCACTCTCTCAATCTGTTATTCTTCCCCTCCTTCCTACCTCTTCCCCTTCACTCCCTCCCCCACCCCTCTGCCTCCTTCGTCTCCCTCTCCCCTCACTCCTCTGCATCCTTCCCCCCTCCATTCTCATTCACTCAGTCCTTTCTTCCTACACATCTTATTCCACTGCTTCTTTTTTCTCTCTTATTATTATCTCTCTTATTATTATTTTTTCTCTCTTATTATTAGTTACTTCTTATTTACTAATAACTTTTTTCATTGTCTTATTTAATTAAAATACTACTGTGTCATTTTCTCCCTTAAAATCTTGCTAGAAAATCCATCCTTCTGGCTAGATAAATCAAGAAAGGGGGGAGGGCTCAGAATGGGAAGAAATACTCACTTCTATATCTGCCTAACTGTCTATCCATCTGTCTGACTTACAATGTTTCTGAGGAAAATCCACAGTTGTTAATTAGCTTTTTATTACCATGACAAGATGCAAAGTATCTCTCTTTCAACAATCTTAAATGTTTTGAAGAACCATACAAAAGACTTTTTGCAGTATCTGACCCCATCTCCTTTACAAAGTTCTTTTCTTCATTTATGAAGTCCTATATTTCCTGAAATTTTATTTATGTTCAGCCTGAAGAATTTCCTTTCAGTGTTTCATTTATTTTTAAAAATGCGCTGGGGTGGCTCTGTGTGGAATGTGCTTGCCATGTAAGTGTGAGGACCTGCTTCACATCGCAGGAATCACATAAAGCCAGATGCAGCTGCACCACATGACTGTACTGAGAGTGATGCTGTGACAAGATGAGAGACGGAGACTGGAGAATCCCCAGAAGACCCTGGGGAGGCAGCCTTTTATGAGAAATGGTGAACAAGAGACACAGTCTCAGATAAGGCAGAAGGCAACAGTCACACCCAAGCTTGGCCTTTATCTCTATCCATGTGCCATGGCAAGGAGGTGGCTCTCAAACAAGAGCAGACACAAACATACAAACATACACACAACATCACACACTGAAACACAGATTTCTTTAATAAGGAAATATGCCAAAAATTCATTACATTATTTTCTTCCAGTCTTCATTCTCCATTCACTCTTAGATAATACTTTCATTGGGTATGTACAATTTTGAAGGAGCAAGTTGTTCTTGAAATAACTTACACTCTTTACATAGTACAGCCATACTTCACTTCCCTGTATCACACCTCAGAAAGAGGAGAGGGAAAAGATTCAATAGAACAGGCTGCAAGGCACCTTTAAGATACACTTGCCATGCTCTGGTAAATTTTCAGCTGACACCAACTCCCAGTGGGTGAATCAGGAGCAGGTGCCCCTTCGAGCACCAGAACACACTTTTCTGGGCTGATTTGCATATTGTGTCATTATACAACAGCCCAGGCTTCTTTAAGGGCAGCTGCTAGGAGCCTAAGAAGCACCCTTTCTTCAAGCTCCCAGAAATGGAGTCAAACACACTCCTCCTATGCATGCTGCTGTTCAGTGTTCCAGGTGAGAGGGTGCAGAGAAGTGTTGGGAGCATCCACAGTGGCCATCATGGTTTTCCATGTCTCTTGTATCTTGATCATTAGAACTAAGGCATTTGTAATTAGTTTTAAATCTCCCATTGCCGTTGATTTTCTGTTTTCTCAAAGTGATGCCCACAACTATTCTTACAATGAAAAATTTCTCCACTGGGAAGGTTTCTAAACATATTTAACCATGGTTCATGTGTATATGATTCCAGGTTCCACTGGGGACATTGTGCTGACCCAGTCTCCAGCTTCATTGGCTGTCTCTCTGGGACAAAAGGCCACCATCTCTTGCAAGTCCAGTGAAAGTGTCAATGAATATGGTATAGATTTTATGGACTGGTATCAACAGAAACCAGGACAGCCCCCCAAACTCCTCATCTATGCAGCATCCAACCTAGCATCTGGGGTTTCTGCCAGGTTCAGTGGCAGTGGGTCTGAGACAGACTTCACCCTCACCATCCATCCTGTGCAGGCTGATGATGCTGCAATCTATCACTGTCAGCAGGGTAAGGAGGATCCTCCCACAGTGCTTCAGGGCTAAACAAAAACCTCCTGGGGTTGCTGCTCACTGAAGCTGAGTCTCTGAGCATTCTGTAAGTGTCTAAAGTCTCAATACAGGGCTCTAGGCTTGCTTGGGGAAAGACCTTAAACAATGAAACGAACTTTTATAAACTGATATGCGTGGTTGTATCATCCCATATACTAATTTAATGAATTCCCAACAAAATATAGACCTTTTTCATTATTTCTTAATTATTACTTACTCGATTAACTTTTCATTAACACATATTTATCTTTGGATGATTTTTCCCTTCTTTTCCCCTGTCTCCCTGACCAAATTTCTGCCTATTCCCTCCCACCTTCAGTATTCCGACTTTAAATTTCCTATCACTTAAGATTTACTGTTTCTTTTTATAATGTGTTTTTAAAAGATAATAAATACAGATTGCACCATGAGGGGAAGGCCCTGCCCTTCACTAGCTGCTGCACTCAGGAGAGTGGTCCCTAAGCCTTGCCTAGACAACACAGTAGAGCTGTTCCTGAAAATGTAGGTTCTGGGAGAGCCAACCATGGGGACATGAAAGCAGGAGAACTAGCCCCTTGCTCATCAAAGCAAGAGGTGAAGTAGGTGGAGCAATGGCTATAGACAGGGGAGAGCTGGCAGACTGACATACTCTGCAATAACCAGTGTTATGAGTTGGCCCACTCCAACATCCTGGATGGTCATGGTATTTAAGCATTGAGACCTGAAGATGAGAGCCTGAGAACTTAATCATCCTGTTGGGACACTTTTGGGTAAGGGTCTGGATGCAGAGAATTCTGCCTCCAAAGATAGTCTAGCCTCCAATGTTCCCCTTTTCAAGTTGGATGCAGTCATGGCAGCTTCCTTTGCTTAGAAGGTAGTCTTTCTTCCAATTTCCAACCCCTCCACTATCATGCCAGTCCAAATTCATCTAAAGAACCCCATTTCTTTCCCTCATCAAAGACAATAACCTCTAAAATTATAATCTTAGAAGGGATTAGAAATCACAATAAATTACTTAAAGTTACAGGATCTCAAAATCAAGCAACAGAACCTGTAAAACCCCAATATTGGGTGTTCAAAAGGCTGATTAGTAATGGAAGCCAGTAAAGCACCTCCTCCTCATTAACCAGGCCACAGTCCCTACTTACCTAGGAGCCCCCAACCTTATTCTTTGTAAACACAAATCCCTAAGAGGACCAAATGTTTCAGTCTTAGGTTTAAGCGATAAATTTTTCTGCTTATCTTTACATCTTGATTACCAATATCTTTTTGCCTTTATGGATCTTTTAAACCAAACCACACAACTCTCTTAAACTATATTGCTCCAAGAGTATCAAAACCGTCTTCACTTATTTGAATAGACACTGTCACAGGACCTTTCTAAATTCTCTTACTTACAAGTTAATGTCCTCCAATATGCAGATAACAACTTCCATTGTGCGTCCATTGATGACATCTCATAGGATGGAATCACACAAATAACTGGAGACTGCACAGTATCCTCTTGAATTACCATTGATTTGTTGAGGAAATCAGTGAGAAAATAATTCCTAGAATCAAATGAAAATGACAGCACAGCTTTCCAGCGTCTTCAGGATACTGCTAAGTTATGGTGAGAAAAGATTATGCCTGTAAATACCCTCTTAAAGAAGCAGGAGGACCTCAAATAATGACCAAATTCAGAGAAATCTCAAGTAAATACCTAATGATGAGCCTCAAGGTCTAAGGAAATGTTCAAGCCAAACCCAAAGTCAGTCAATGGCAAGAGGTGATAAATATTAGGGCAGAAATTAATGAAATAGATATTAAAATAACAGTGAATAAAATTATTCAAAGACATTGTTCTTTGAATAAATCCACAGTCTACAGCAAGAGAAGCAGATCTACATAAATAATATCAGAGATAGAAGAGAGGAGCTTGCAACACATTCAAATGAAATCCAGACAACCTTTGGGTAGTACTTTAAAATTTTATATTCCCCCAAATTGAAAAATCTTGAAGAAGTGGATATATGTCTAGACACATATGACATAACCACATTAAATCAAAACCATGTCAACAACTTCAACATAACCATAGCAAGAAACTCTGTTGACATGGTAATAAAATGACTCTCAAGAGTGAAACTTACAACTGGAGGAGTCCACTGTAAATTCTGCCAGACCTTTAATGAAGAGCTGATATTAATGCCCTGGAACTGTTCCCTGCCATAGAGAAGGAAGAAACACCACAAAAAAAATGAAAAAACACTACCACTATGAAGCCAGCATTACCCAGATTACAACACAAAGACATATGGGACAAACAACAAAGAGACCAATGTCCCTAATTAACATAACCTCCCAAAAACCCTGCAAGCCCAATCTAAGAACACATAAAGAGGACTATACGCTATAACATTAACTGCACTAACTACAAAACCATCCCTATTATCTCTAGGAATCCATGATTTTGATAGTTCAAGTGGGGTTCCTCACTTCAAATATCCATTTGCATAAGGATGGAACTGGAATATAGAGAGCTGGGTGCTCTCCATTCTGAATATGTCTCAGGGGAGTGACTCCTCAGACTGTGAAGGAATCATGTGGGTCCAGAATTGGCCTTAGCTTGAATGGGTGGAGAAGCATGTCTTACCCATGGTGAAGTCCATTTGTCTTCAAAGTTAGGCTTTCAGAGCCCATCTGCATGTCATTCTCACTGCTCACTGCCTTTCCTGCTCCTACTGATGATTGGAATCAAGGCTGTCTAATGACCCAATGTCCCCTTCTAATCTGAACCACACCGCAATCTTTTGTTTCTTTTTTGTGAAACCTGATTGCTTTCTCTTGTTGAGAAGAATCAAAATGTGAAATACATTGTTGTTGTAAGATACAGAAAATAATTTGCAACCTGGACAGATAGGATATTGGTTCAGAACCCATCCTGCACTTTCAGAGTACATGGGTTCAGTTTCCAGCATCCACATGGCAGCTCACAACCATCTGTAATTCTAGTTTGAGAGAGAATCCCATGCACTCTTCTGGTATCCAAGGCCACAGGCACAAATGTGGCACACAGACATGCAGGCAAAATACTCATATACATAAAATAAAATTAAAGGCATTTTTTAAAAGTTTAATTCTGATCTAGGCTAGACAGACTCCAGAAGAAAAGCACAGCTCCACCCCAGGTCATTAACTCATTGCAGAAAGAATTTCTCCCACAAACCTGCCCACCAGGCAGTCAGGCACCTTTATGATGAGTGAGTCTAGTAGGCAAAATGGGAGACAATGAGATACAGAACAATTCATGAGGGGAAAGGCAGATTTGAAGAGGCAAAGACAGTGAGGAACAGGCTGACATAGATGCCCTACAGCCATCCAGGTTCAGATGTCCAGGTCTGGGCTGCTTCTGAGGGCCACAACTTGGTACACGACCCTGATGCAGCTAAGGGTGTCTGTGTTGATGTCTGTGGCTCTTGTTACCAAAGAGGGCCCTGTGTATAGCCTGAGTCTGGGCCACTACCTGTGGCCAAGTTGATGTTCAAGGGATGTGCTTCCACAGGGACATGTCAATCCAGGAGTCATGTGCCAAAATCCAGAACCATGTTAATGTCCAGCCCAAACTGCTGCCAGAGAAGATGTCTGGGTCCATGGCCCTGCTGTGGCTGGGCTCTGAGTTGATGTCCATGGTCCCTGTTGCCAAATTAGGGCTGTGCAGAGATCTGAAGTCTGAGCTAACGCCTGAGACCATGTTGGTCTTAGAGGGTCAAGTGTTACCGAGGCCATACACATCTGGATAGCCCATACTGCCATCAGGGGCCATGGTGTCATCCAGTCCCGAACTAAAGAAGTATGTCATGTCTGGTTCCAAGGACCTACCAGAGTCTGTATTAATGTCTGTGGCTCTTCTGACCATTGAAGGCTTAGTGGATGTCCGGGAGTCTAGGCTGCTACATTGGAACATGTTGGCATTTGGGAGACATGCTAGAACTTGTGCCATGCCCATCTCTTTGAACTGAAAAGCCAACTAGGGCCATGATGACATCTGAGCCTGGGTTATTGCCAAGGACCATGTCTGGGACGATGGTCCTACTGCAGCCTGAGTCTGTGCTGATGCCCTTGGCCTGTGTTGCCACAAAAGGCCACACTGATGCCAAGGATCTGGGTCTTCACCTGTGGCCTTCTTGGTCCCTGAGGGCTATGCTGCTGCTGGGCACATACAGACCGGAAAAACATATGATACCATCCAGGACCAGGGCATTGTACAGGCCTGAAATGCAGCCAGGGCCATGTCTGGGTCTGTAGCTCTGCCGAAGACAGGACCTGCACTGATGTCTGAGGCTCCTGTTACCATCAAAGGCAATGTGGATGTCCAGAATCTGAGCTCACACTTGGGGGTGTATGGGTGTTCAAGGGCCATGCTGCTGTTAGGTCCATGCTAATCTAAGTGACTTGCTCTGCCTCCTAGGGCCATGGTATTGTCCCGGACTGGGCTACTCCCTGTGACCACATTTGGGTCCATGGCCTGAGTGTAGCCATGGTCTGTGTTGATGTCCTTGGCTCCTGTTACAACCAAAAGCAGTGAGGATGGGGCTGCACACAAATGGCCCTGCCCCTCACCAAGTGCACCACTCCAGTGAGAGCAGGGCCCTGTGCCTCCCCAGGGAGGCACAGTAGAGCTGTCCCTGATGGCAAAGTTGCAGGTTACCAAACCCTAAATATGCAGAGTGGAAGAGCTAGCCCCACAGACTGTTACTCGGTGGCATGGGCGAGGGAGAGATACCGCCCCTCACCTCTTGCCACCTGCTGCATGCTGGAAAAGCTGGTCCCAGAGTCACAAGAGTGGGAGAGCAGATCCTGTCCCTCACCAGCTGCAGCACTCAGCTGCAGCAGAGTCAAGCTGACCCCAGTGCTTGTGGGAGATCTTGCAACCACCCTTCTTCTGCCAAGTGGTGGAAGGTGTGAGGGAGAGAATATATCCCCCATCCTCTCACCCTCACCTCCTGTGGCACATGAGAAAGCTGACCCTGAGGTCATGAGAGTTGGAGAATTGGCACTGTACCCCACCGGAAGCAGCACTAGGAGGAACAGGACCTGCATCTCATCTGGGCAACACAACAGAGCTGACCTTGTTGGTGAGGGGATCAGGTGTTCAGGCTAGGGTCAGGAGAGCAGGAGGACTCATCCCACCTCCCTCATCTAACTCGAGATAGCATGGGTAAGGAAAACGTGCCCTCCCTCCCCTCACCCCTTGCCACCTGCACCAAGTGAGAGACCAGGCCCCAGGACACAGTGTGGGAGAACTGGCCCTGCCCCTCATCAGCTGCAGCACGTGGAAGAGTGCCATGGCATCTCACCAGGGCAGCACACTAGAGCTGACCCTGTTGGTGGGGCTCAGGTGAGCCAGGCCTGTAGGCATGAGAGCAGGAGAGCTGTCCTCACCTCCTCCCTGTATGCTATGGGATGGCAAGGGTAAAGGAAATAGGCCTTCGCCCCACACCTTACCACCTGTGACAGGCAGGAGAGCCAGCCTCAGGGGCATGAGAACAGAAGAGCTGGTCCTGCCCCTGCTCACCTGGTGCAGAAACCCGAGAGTGCACTCTGCACCTCACCTAGACAATACAGTAGAGCTGGCCTTTATCTGTGAGCATCAGTGAGCTACACCCGAGGGTGTGAGAGCAGGAAAACTGGTCCTGGTCCTTGCTGTCTGCTACATTGGGGGAGCTGGCTGGGGCAGTGCTGGAGAGTTTGCCTGGGTGGTGATGATGAGAGAAAGCTGGCAGACTGACCAACCCAGCTGCCACCCAGGCCCAGGAGCAAGACTACAGGCAGCCCACTCAGACACCCACCTCACATATGAACTGCTGAAGCATGTGAAGGGGCCAGACACACAGATCCAAAGCTACAGAAACTCCAGGACACATGGTAAAAATAGAATATCCAATTGAGTCCAAGTGAGGGCCTGGTATTGAGGGTGTACCAGAAGCCAGAGGCCTCCAACCTGAGCAATGACTCTTTGCAATAAATACTTACAAGTAAAGACATATGGACTAAAGGATATACTGTGTGACTCAGTGAGCCACACTACAGTTTCCATGTGGAGATGTTTTAATTTTCTTTTTCTTTTTTTTTTTTTGATTGTTTTGGTTTTGGGGTCTTGGGTTTTACTTTTAAATTTTGTTTTGGGGGAGGTTGTAAGGAGAGAAGGAGGAAGCAAGGGAATGAAGAGATGAATGGGATTGGTATTCATGATATGAAATCCACAAAGAATCAATAAAAAGGCTTTTTTTAAAAAAAAATAATTCTGAGGAATAAAAGTGCTCCTACATACAATATCCTCTATAGCAGAGCAGTGAGAGTGCACTCCCCACATGGAACTTCAAAATAACAGACCATGATTCCATAGGGCCAGCCGCAAATTCACTTGGGATGCACTTACAATACCCTCGGGAAATCTTTGCTAATCCTACCTGCCATAGGGTGACACAAGAGCAGGTGTCCTTTGAGCACCAAGTCACGCTTTTCTAAGCTGATTTGCATATTGAGGCACAGTGCAGACTGCTCAAAGCATCTTTAAAGGCAGCTTGCCAGTGCCCAAGAAGCAGTCAAGTCCAGGTCTCAGAGATGGGGTCAGCTGCTCTCCTGCTGTGGGTACTGCTGCTCTGGGTTCCAGGTGAGAGGGTGCAGTGTTGGGAGCAACCACTGTGGCCATGACTGTTTTCCATGCTTTGGTGTCCTGATCGTTGAAATTATGGCTTTTAATTAGTTTTGTGGTTCCTAGTCACCTTAATTTTCTTATCTTTTAATTATTTATGTGTATGGTTCTTTTGTTTGTATGAATATCTGTGTATCACAAGTAGCCCTGTTACCTGTGGAAGCAAGAACAGGCCTCTAATCCTCTGTATTTGCAGCTACAAACATTGTGAGACACTAAGTTGGTGTTGGGGATGAGACCTAGTTATCTTGGCCAGTGCTTTTAGCCCCTGAGCCATCTCTGAAGCCCTGATTTACCTAACTCCCTCTTCTTTTTTTTTTCAAGGTAAAGCTCAAGATTGCAGTTAAAGTCTCCATATACGACAGTGCTACACCAGGATGGTTTCAGTACATCTGTGACAGTAATGTGTATGTTTTCATTCTAGGCACCACTGGGGACATCGTGCTGACCCAATCTCCATCTTCCTTGGCTGTGTCACTAGGGCAAAGGGCCACCATCTCCTGCAAGGCCAGCCAGAGTGTCAGTAATAACTTTTTCACTTACATGTACTGGTATCAACAGAAACCAGGACAGCCCCCCAAACGCCTCATCTATGGAGCATCCAACCTAGATTCTGGGGTCCCTGCCAGGTTCAGCGGCAGTGGGTCTGAAACAGACTTCACCCTCACCATCCATCCTGTGGAGGCTGATGATGCTGCAACCTATTACTGTCAGCAGGCTATTGTGTTTCCTCCCACAGTGCTCCAGGGCTAAACAAAAACCCCCCAGGTTTGCTGCTCCCTACGGCTCAGTCTCTCAGCTTTCTCTTTCCCCAGGACATCTCAGCCATAGAACCTAGAAGTTTTGATTCCATGGAAGGAAGGTGTGAAATAGAAATTTTTTAAACAGTTATGTGTGTTTGTCCCACTCTGTGTACTTTAATATAACAACTTGTTTGCTAATAAAGACCTCTCTGGTACTATTTCAAAGCATTTCTATACTCAATAGACTGACTAGAAAGCAATTTTGAACTTACAAAAAAAAACTTTTCATTCAAAATAATAAGAGCTTTGAACATTGAAGGTTGTCAGTTTTCTTGCTGATGTTCTCACCCTAATGTGTTTCCACTTCTATGTACTTGGGGTTACAAAAACACCTTTTCAGTAAATCACAGATGTGAGGCTTCTGTAGCTGTTTCTACTGCTTTGATTCTGACCTGCATCTCTGTGTCCATCATGAACATGTATCACAGTCTTGGATTATCAGCTCTTCTCTCCTCCATGTCCAATAGTCTAGTCTTTCTCTGCAGTATCTTCCACATGTGTGGACACACACTCTCTTTTTGCTTTCCTTCATTTATAATTCCATTTTCACTGTATTTTAGGGGGTGGGGATAAAAAAGTTCTCATTATATATCCTGTGCTCACCTGGGAATCACTATCTAACACTCATTGACAGTAAACTTACAACCCACCTGCACCTTCCCCAAGCAGCTAGATCATGGAACCATACTCAGCTCCATTTCATTTTCCTGTTGTTCTACCATTGCAGATGGATGAACTCCAGAGGACCAAGAGTGCACAGCCATGGTCATGAGTGTTAACTTCACAGACACCTTCTACTTCCACATGAGCCTTCTTTGAGCATCTGTATCCTCCCATGTGGAACAGGAAAGTTCAACATAATGATCTCTAGCAACTTCTCTCAGATGCATATCTCCTGAGTTTTTCAAGATCACAGTCCCAGATGAAACTGTGTTGTAGCAGTTTTCTAACAATGTATAATAGTTAATGCAAACTCAGTGCCATATGAGCTCAACACCTATAATCTTGGCAGGGTATGTCTGGGTCCTCTGCTCAGGGTCTCATAGGATACACTCAAGGTGCTATCAGGGCTGCACTCTCATCTGGGTGCTCAGAGACTCTCCTTCCCAGCTCAGTCAGCATGTCTACACAGCAACTCTGTGTCTGAGTTGCTACACCCTTATTAACTGTGGGCTGGCAGCTTCCCTAAGGTCCTACAGGCACTGAGAGTCCCCTGACATGTACGATCTCAGCTATCACACCAGCAAGGGGATGCACAGCAGAGAGGAAATGGCTTCTCTTTAATGGCTTTGACCTGATTAAGTCAGGCATACCCAGGTCAATCTCCCTTTAAAGGAACTTCAAATGCTCAGAAGTTGTATATTTTTACATCTAAAAATCTCACTTCCTCTCTGTATTTTAGGGAGCAGCATGTAGTGTCAAATCTGTTCACAGGCCACAAGCAGTTGCTCCAGAGACAGCATTGGGATATCTGGGTCTTAAGAGTCACTTGGAGCAGAGAAAAATGAGCTGATCTGGGCTTTTCCTGAACTAGAAAAAAATCGTCCTGAGTGAGGTAACTCAGACTCAGAAAGACAAAAACAGTATGTACTCACTCATAACTGGATATGGGCACAAACCATAGGATAACCAGGTTACAATTCACAATCCCAGAGAAGCCAGGGGAAAAGGAGGACCCTAAGAGGGACACACATGGAATTCCCAAGGAAGGGGAAATAGTTAAGATCTCTTGAGTAAACTGGGAGGGGTAGAAGGGACAGTATGGGAAATGGAAACATGATGGATCAGCATGGCTGAGTTGGGGGAGGGACAGAGAGGGAGAGCAATGAAAGAGATCTCTTGATTGAGGGAGACATTATGAGGTTAGGGAGAAACCTGCTACCAGGGAAATTACCAGGAATTCACAAGATGACCCCAGCTGAGACTCCAAGCAATAGTGGAGAAGGTGCCTGAACTGGCCTTCCCCTGTAATCAGAGTAGTGACTACCCTAATTGTCATCATAGAACTTACATCCAATAACTGAAGGAAGCAGATGCAGAGATCCACAGCCAAGCACAGGGCTGGGATCCACAAGTTTAGTTGAAGAGAGGGAGGAGGGATCATATGGGCAAAGGTATTAGGATCATGATGGGGAAAACCACAGTCAGCTGACCCAAGCTAGTGAGAGCTCAAAGACTCTGTACTGACAGCTGGGAAACCTGCATGGGACTGACTAGGCCTTCTGAATGTGGGTGACAGTTGTGTGGCTTGACCTGCTTGTGGAGACCCGAGTTGTGGGACCAGGAGTTACTCTGAAAGCATGAACTGGATTTTTGGAGCTCATGCCCTGTGGTGGGATACCTTGCTCAGCCTTGATGCAGGAGGAAGTGGCTTGGTCCTGCCCCAACTTGGTATGCCAGACTTTGATGAGTCCCCAAGGGAGGCCTTACTCCCTTTGATGAGTGGGTGGGAATGGGGGTGGGAGGCAAGGGAACAGGAGAAGGGGAGGAAAGGGGAACTGTGGTTGGTATGTAAAATGAAAAAAATTTAATAAACAAAATTCTCTGTTTAGATCTGTGACCCATTTTTTAGTTGGATTATTTGATTTGTTGTTTTTTACTTTTATTTTATTTTACAATACTGTTCAAGGATTATTTGATTTGTTGATGACTAGCTGTTTGAGTTATTTTTATCTTTTGGATATTAGCCCTCTGGCAGATATGGAATCGGTAAACATCTTTTTCCAATCTGGCTGCATTTTTGTCTTATTGACAGTGTTCTTTGTCTTACAGAAGCTTTTCAGTTTCATGAGTTTCCATTTATTAATTGTTGACTGTGGTGATAATCTAATTGTACTGAATTATTATTTTGATTGTATGTTAATAAATAAAGTTGTCTGGGAGTCAGAGCTATTAGAGCCATAGCAAGAGTGTGGCGGTGGTGGCACACGCCTTTAATCCCATAGATATCTGTGTGTTCAGGGTCA